ATTATTGTAACATAATGTAAAGCTCAGAGAAGTCAACTTTACATAATGATTTATGTGAAGTTGACTTACATAAATCAACTTTACATAAAAGTTTTGAGCTTTACATTGTAATGATTTATGTAAAGTTAACTTCTCTGAGCTTTACATTATGTTACAATAATATTCTCTCAAACATACCTGGATTCTTGATTCTTGCGTGTTTAAGCAATCCTTTAATCTCCATGACAACCATTCAGCTGTGCAGAACGCTTAGAGCAGGGGTGTCAAAGGGGTGTCAATCGTTCGGCCCCCGGGCCGAACGATTTAGTCCGGCCCGGGGGCTAAATGCATTATCATTATTCATGAAAAAACATATACTTCGTTTAATTGAAAATCTGCAGTTCCTATACTGTCCACGAGGGGCGCTGTGTTTTATTCAGAGCACACAACATGATGCAACACTGCAGCGGAACTAACAGCAGATGGCAGCACTGAGCTTCAGGTCCTCTAAACAAGTTCGATTCTATGCTTTACCAGCTTTTTATTTTGGCCCTGGCAACCTCATATTTGTTCAAATTGCTTCCCAGATGTTGAAAATTGATTTTAAATCTTTTCTTAATTTTTGTCTGTTGTATTTTGTGATGCAGGACAGTGTTTTTAAGTTCCAAAAACTGTGAATAAATGTTTTGCAACAATCACTGAGATCAGTTCTTATGCATAATGCACTTAAATAAATGCTTAACTGAGTAAAAGTTTTGTTGAAATTGCAGTGCAGATACCTTTCTTAAAAACTGAGATTATTCATAATATATTTTGTAAAAGTGAAATTCATTTAATATAAAAATCAACAACAAGTCCACTTTTATTGGTTCTATTTAATTTTGCAATGAGTTTGCTTGTGTGGCCCCCTGCAGATCAGATTAAGCTGTATGCGGCCCCTAAACCAAAATGAGTTTGACACCCCTGGCTTACAGGGTATCCAGCGATGCATTCAGGGACAAAGCTTGTCCTCAGAACTGTAGTTTCCAAGCTTCTACATTACAGAACGCCCCTCACACCTCATTCCCACCATTCAGCTCCTTCAGATGAGCAACAGCTCGTCAGCTGATTGAAAACAGCTGATCGAACTGCGCATCAGCTGAGCTCATTATAGGAGCTATTTCTCAGTACAAAGCTGATAAAAACCTTGTTAAAAGGTTAATAACCCTGATGTTTTGGTTATTTCCTGGAGGTGGATTGTTGAAAAGAGCAAGAGTTTCTTAAAGAGTCAGAAGCCCAATTTCAAAGTGTTAAATTATGACATCAAATTCCTATCAAGTCATATTTGATATATATCACATTTTTACAACTAAAAATAACATAGTTACTTCATTGTACTATAAAATGACATTATGTGGATGACAAACGCATAATACTGGCTCTTAGATGGACCCTGTCAAACTTGTAGGTTTGATGTTAGTGTCGGGTTTTATTTGGGCTTTCAGTTTCTCTTCTCTAGAGTCCTACTGTATGTGAAGATAGTAACTTAATTTATTACATTAGTAAAGATTATAAAACTGCATTGTTTGAGCATCATTTAAACTTGCATGTGATACAGATAATGTGTTTTCTAGCTCTGCAGGCTGATTGTTAAACTGTTGTGTGTTTCAGGATGGCCAACCTGAGCTACATGAGGAACTTCTGCTTCAGTAACTCCAGCAAAGATGAGCTCAGCTACTGCCTGAGCACGTTCGAGGCAGCAGTGGAGTTCATCAATCTGGGGAAGCTGCAGAACACGTGCTCTGTGAGACACACTCTGCAACGGCATGTCGGATCTTGGCAGATCCGATACAGTTCCGAGAGGGTTGCAGTTATTGTCTTTTTTTTTTTTTGTCTCTTGCTCTTAGGTCACGGGTGAACTTAGAGACAAAGCTCTATTCAAGGAAAGGATGAGTCTGCTGACTCAGAACGTGGCCGCTCCCGTCCTCCGCCTGTTTGAAGTAAGCTGGAGCAGTCCGGCTTCTGCTTCCCTCAACCCACCTGTCCTTTCTGCAGGGCAGAGGTGCTGCCAGGAATTGTGGGCCCCCTGACAAAAAATTAGTTTGGGACCCCCGTGCAGCTGCTGTTACAATTTTTTGAGTCTATTTGGCCCATAAAAAGCATCATAATTTTAAAGGCTTTCATCTGCCTTGCTCTCTTTGGTTCCATACTGATAATTAGCACAATATTTACTGCTCATGAATTTAACATCGATTATGCAAGTAGGTTGCTTAAATTTTTTCTATTAGTTTTAGATTACTGAAATATCACCCCATGAGCAACAGTCAGGGGCAATGTGCAACTACACATAAAACAATCGAAACTTCTCAAAAATGCTATGTAGTTGCATTTTATTCCAGGTGCAGTACATAGCTTTAATAAAAAATATGTTTTCTCCATATTTGTTAAAGCTGCCACGATGTCGTAGCAGTTTGTTATGAGACAGATAATCTGTGAAAACAATCAATCTCCTCCATCTCCTTCCTGAATTACTGGTTAAAGTAATGCACCGTTCTGACCAAAACAACCAATCAGAACCAGTAGGACGATCTTAGCACTGTCAATTAGCCTCATTCACTCACTGTTAAATGTGTTAATGGTGGAGAAACAACTTATCATTACAAGAAACTGTTTATCTGCCATCATTGGTAGCTATGCTAACTGAACTGAGCATTCACAGTTTGAATCTGCACAATTCTGTGCTATGCTAGCAGCAGCACAGCACAAATCGAGGGGGAGGAAGGATGAGCAGCACCACATGAGATTGTGATTGACAGCACTAAAACTCTCCTGCCACTGACTGTTTCTAGGCAGAGAAAATAGATTTTTCACAGATTACTTCTCATATCATACTGTCACAACATAATGACAGTTTTAACAAATATGTGAAAAAAATATTGATAAATAAGTGACATACTGCAGCTTTAATTTCACTCAGAAGAGAACAGGTCAGGAGGGACGTGGGTTAGAGCTGCTGCTGACTGACATCTGTTGTTAAGTGGTAAAGGGTACAAGGGACAAGTATATGAGTATATATGAATATGTTAATTTTTTTCTTAATTCATTAAATGCTAGTGAAAAGGAGGCAAACAGTAGTTTGTAGCTAAGATAACTATGCAAAATGTTTGATAATCTCACAGTCTACTCGCCGCTCATGCAGAAAAACTGGGTTATAAAATGGAAGCTTAAAAGTGTAAATTCAAGCTGGGAAAACTCCAATCAACTTGTTGGCCACTTCTACTACCACGCCCACGCTTCAATCAACAAGCACGGGCGAGCAGCCACTCCAGCCAATTACCTCGCAAGAGTTCCTTCAAAAGCACCAACAAAGCCAGGCTCTTCAGCTTTTCAGCCTGCTTCCAGCTTACGTGCGCTTCTCTTACCTCCTTGACATTCAGCCAGCTAGTTCATCTGCCTCACCTCCTTCCGTGATCCAGGTCCCTCTGTCATCGATCCAGCTCACAGAAGTACCCTCCGATCGTCCTTCCCTGCTCTCATGGACTAGATCCTATGATCATCCCCTCAGCTGCCATCGCGCTCCTAGACTTTCAGCATCTCCACTCCGATCTAACTGTCCCCATTGTGCCTTCCTTCGGCCTCCATTAGTGACAAAAAGCTGGGAATCTTCCGGTTCTTCCCTGCTCGCCTCATCGGGGACTCGCCCGGTCCCACGAATTGTCTTTCCTTGTTAACCGATGGGTGAACATCGCCATCTGACTGCTTCGCACACTTCTGCATATCCCAGCTCGCAGCTAGCTCTTAGCCTCATCAATCAGCAACCTCACTGCGCCCAATCGGGGGCGTTGTCT